GATATTTCCTGATTCCACCAGACACGTTTTCAGCAGAAAAGAAGGCAATGGTTGGAATAATGTGTCCTCCAACAAGTGTGTTTGTCCTCTAATCTGATACCAACAAATCTTTCTTGCCAAGACTCCAAATAAGAGGTACGTGAGAAAAGAATAGATATACAGAATATGGGCATAATAGTATCTCTAAGAAGCAGGGCAGCTTGTGGTGGGCCAGGGTTAACAAGAGCCTGCGGCACCCTTACCTGGCCTAAGTCTGTTGGCAAGGTACTTGGCCAGCTTGCATATCTCATCAAGTCTGTATCTGTCACTCTTCATCTGGCATCTGGGTTGCTCATCTTCAGCGAGGAAACTGCTGAGATTCTGATGGAGCATGGAGGCAGTATATCTCCCTTCCTCCAACTTCTGCCTTAATTTAGCCAATTCTTGGGCTTGAAGTTCAATTAGAAACCAAAAATCCCTGAGGTGAAATAAAGATGGAACACATATAATGGCAACTCAGGTCCTGACTGCTCAACAGACCACCGAGTGAGGTTACTATGAGCATGTGGTTCTATCACTTTCTCAAGACAACTCTGGTCTATCTTTGGCAACAGTGCAACAGTGTTGGGTTTTGTTTGTTGGTTGGTTTGTTAGTTTTTTGTGTGGCCTGCTCAGCCTATCCTGGGGGCAGGGCTGAAGCAGCATGTGGTGCCAGGGATTGAATCATGGTCCCTGCAGTTGCCTAAGTAGGCTCTTTAGATAGCTGAGCCAATTTATGGTCCCTGCAGCAATACTTTGAATACTTACAATACTCCGTTTGTGTCCACTCAACTGTTTATTTAGCAATACTTTGAATGCTAAATAAACAAGATAGGTTCCAGTTTGTACACTGGAAGAGTTCTTTTGTCTTGGGTGTTTTCAAAAATTATGACAAAATGCAATTATCTAGATTTCACTTAATTGTACATTTCTCTAATTTCCTTCCAGTTTAAGAACTTTCCAACAATCACCTCACAGGAAGAAGGTAAGATAAATAAGAGTCCCACCTGATTCTTTTCATACACAAGAGTGCAGGAGTGATTGAGGACAGTAAGAAACCAGAGATTTACTGAGACCAACTGTACAATTCCCTAAGAAAAATACAGAAAGTTGCAAAGAGAAGACTGGTAGACAGAGGAATGAAACTGCTAAAGACAGAAGTTTATGTCTCACTTCACATCATCAATGTGAGTACTTTCCTCTTTGCGCCTCAATGACACTGTGTATCTTACCCATCCAGATCATCCATGTGAGGAGGAAGTTCTTTTTCCTCATCTCCCTGTTCACTATTTCCTGCAAGGTAATAAATGGACAATCAGAAACTAAGTACTACTGGACCACCCAGGTCTACAGGCAGATGGTGATATACATATTATGCATGCCTGTAGGATATACTCAGAGTATAATGAACGGTCCAAGATTTTGTCTTTAAAGAATTGATCTAGCTTGTCATTATGACCATTCAGAAAAATTAACTTTCAGTCAGGCATCAACAAGACAGGATGTTCTGTTCAAAATGCTATTTGTTCTCAGGTGATCAGAAACAAATGCAGCTTTCCTCTGGACTCTGTTTGTGTCCACTCAACTGCCACATGCCTTGTTCCCAGGTGCAGAATCTGTTCCTCTAGGGCTCCTTCAAATCAAGTTCCACCTTTAAGATGAGTCCAGTCCCTGTGACATGTTCAGCACCCTGTGTCCTGCCCAAGCAGCTTCTGTGCTCTTCTCCTGGAGGGTCCTTTGTATGGCAAGTATTTCAGAGGACTCCAACACTCCCCAAACTGAATTCCTCCTTGTCAAAATCCTGAGTAAACCCACACTCAGGAATGTATTGCTTTTTTACAGTTCACTAGTTAATTTCCTCCACAGTTGTTGTGATAGCAATCCTACAGGTCATTGTCATCACTGGACAGGTAGGTATATAGAAATTTTGAGATCAAAAT